TTAATTTTGTTTATTATATCTTGTGTTATTGATCCTTTTGAATTGTTTTTCGTCTTCTTTTCCCCAATTTCTTCAAGTTTCCATCAAATGCTTCCATTAAAATGACTTTGCGGTCCGGTTGTAGCCATGGAAGCAGGTCCTCAATCGTTCAAGGTACATATGCAAGTGTGGTCTTGACGCTCCGTTTATGACGGCATAGACCGATTCGAACCCAGTCCGCCGTTTTTATGACTGTGGGATGTATAAAATTCAAGGATACAAAAAATGCTCTCACTTTGCTTGGATGGATGAGAAGATGAATCCTAGGGCAAAACAAATAATTTCTTCACTGGTAAAGAACTCGAATAAGAAAAAGGAGATGATTAACACCTGCAAAGTCAAGGAGGACGAATTGAAGTTGAAGGTGAAGATCCTGAAGAAATAGTTGAAGATTACTTAGATTTTTTTATTTGTAGTGTTCATTGCATTTATTATAACAACAATGACGAAATAGGTTATAGTTGATTAGGTTTGTATGTTGACTGATGGTGTAATGGTTAATATATTGGTTACCTTGGATTCATGTGATGATGTTATTGTGAATTGAATATGATACAATTATTTGATATTATGAATATGATACAATTGATATTATTATGATAACTTTATCACAAATGTTAAAAATGAGATTAATTACAATAATATAGGTTAAAAAATGGGATTAATTATAAAAGTAGGATATTATTTGTTAATTCTGCAGAAAATTTAACAAATGTTATTTATCATAACCGTTATAATATATCTTGCGCCGACCAGAAAAAATACCTTATCACAACGGTCTTTTGGAAAACACGTTGTGATAGGGCGCGCACTTTCCAATTTATTACAACGGTTATTGGGTCGTGATTGTAAGTATCATATATACAACGACACTCTACATAACAACACCTAGGCCCGCGTGATTATATATCTTTCCCAACCGTTGTTAAATAGGTTTTCTATAATAGTGAAACTAAAAAGACTCCAGCCCATCCTGAAGCCTATGACCAGGAAGTTCTCTGATACTCAATTAAGTCCAACAGGCTAGACATGAGCTCCTCCAAGCTCAAGACAGTCTCCAACATAATCCTTTTGATAATCAGGGCATTTTGAAAGTGAAGCAGTACACGATAAAGTCGTATACCTAAACTAAATGGAAGAGTTAATCCTTATGCAACAAGCCAAAATTACTTGGCTCAAGCTGGGAGATAGCAATAACTCCTACTTTCATGCAGAAGTCAAAGATAAAAACAAGCAAAAAGGAATATACACCTCGACTTCTTTGGATGGAAAATTACTTAGCAATCAAGAAACTATTGAAAAATAAATCACGAACTTCTATACAAAAATGGTTGGCACAAAAGCAACAGATTTGAAAGTGATTGAGATACCTACTATAAGGAATGGTAAATCTCTACATAGAGAGCTTGCTCAGCAGCTGATTAAACCTATAGAGGTGACAAAAATATGGAATTCCCTAGCTCACACAGGGGGACAATAAAGCCCCATATATGAATGGTTTCAACTCTCACTTTTTTAAAGCCACATGGAAAATTGTTAAACATGATATGCATACTGTTATTCTGGATTTCTTTGCATCTGACAAAATTTACAAAAATGGTAATTATTTTTTCGTGACTTTGATCCAAAAAATCCTGAAGCCAAAACCATTAAAGATACAAGGTCATTCTCTTGCTACAACACCATATATAAGATGATTTCCGAGATTCTTACTAATAGGCTTGGGAAAGTGATCACTCATATCATTGAAGACGTCCAATCAACATTCATTCTTAGGAGAACAATTCATGACAATATCACGTTGGCCTAAGAGTTTGTGAGAGGTTAAGGCAGAAAGAACATATCACCTAGATGTATGGTCTAGATGGATATACAAAAGGCCTATGACACAGTTTAATGGTAAGCTTTGGATTAGATTATGGTTGAAATGAAATTTCCCCAGTTGTTCATAACTTGGACCATAACATGTGTTACTACTGTGTCAAATATATTCTCAATAAATGGTGCTCCTTCAGGTATTCTTAAAGCTGAAAGAGAGTTGAGACAGGGTGACCCCATCTCCCCTCTCCTATTTCTGCTTATTATGGAATATTTGCATAGAGTTCTCAAATGGCTATGTTATACTCCCAACTTCAACTTCAATCCTAAGTGTGAAAAGCTTAAAATCCTCAATCTTTGCTTTGCTGGTGATATTTTAATCTTTGTGAGAGGAGATATTGGATACATGAAGCTGACGATGAATAGAATCAAGGAGTTTACTACTACTATAGGTCGTCATATCCGCAAACCCAAAAGTAAACTTTACTTTAGAGGAGTGGATACAAATATCAAAAGACTCATTTAACTTGAAAGTGGTTTTGACATTAGAGCTATACCTTTTAGGTGCCTTGGAGTGCCTCTGGATAGCAAGAAACTTACCATAGCCCACTACCAACATCTTATTGAGAAAATGATAATTAGAATGAAACATTAGAGCATAAATTATTGTCTTATGCAGGTAGATTACAATTGATTAGAAGTGTAATGTTCTCAATAGCCAACTATTTGATGCAAATTTTTCCTTTGCCCAAGAAAGTGATAGCTCATATTGAAGTGTTGCGTAGAACTTTTTATGGACAGGGAAAGACACTGCCAACATGAAAGCTCTTATTGCTTGTGAGCATGTGTGTGACCCAAAAAATACAGGACGACTTAATTTAATTTCTCTCATAGCATGGAACAAAGCCTATATAGGGAAATTGTTATGGAATATATGGGCCAAGCAGGATAAGATGTGGATTTAGTGGACTCACATATACTATATGAAAAAGGAAGATGCTAGAAGGTACCAGCTAGGCTCTCAATGTTCTTGGATCCTAAAAGCGATTTTCAAGCACAGAGACATGATGATGCAGTCTGAACCTTGGGAGGAGTTCCAAGAGGCTGGCAGGTATAATACTAGAAAGATGTATCAAATGATTAGAGGTAGTAAGCCAAAAGTGGGTTGGAGAAAGTTGACCATAGGGAATTTGACCAGACCTCGAGCCATGTTTACCCTATGAATGACTTGCCAAAAGCGCCTACTAACTAAAGATCGATTGCAAAAGTTTGGTTTATCTTCTGATGGCCTGTGCGTGTATTGTGGTATGTGGGAAAGTTGCCATCACCTCTTCTTTGAGTGTGACGTGACTAAGAAGGTTTGGAAGAAAATGTTGAATTGGATGGGAATTAGCCATAGCCGGGGGCCTTGGGACATTGAGTTAGGCTGGATTAGTCAAATAACCAGTGGAAAAGAGTGCAAGAAAAAACTCATGAAAATAAACTATTGAAATAATGTACAAGATATGGAATATAAGAAACAAAATTATTTTTTAAAGAGGAAAAAAGGAAGATCTTCATCGTGAAGATATCATTGAGGTGGTTCTTAGGCGAGTAGAGCTGATAGGAAACAGTCAATGTACTGAAATAGAACTTGATTGTGTTTTTAATTCGTGTTAACTTGGAGTTTTGTCGTTTGGATGCTAGATCATAAGATCGGCTTGATTGTATTGTGTTTTTAGTAATAAAATATTTCTTTATTGAAAAAAAATGTCACATTTGAACAAATTATATGTTCCAAAATAAGTATTACTTCTAATTTTTAATATAATTTTCATTTTTTCTTCTTCTTTTAATTGTACTCTTCAATAAATATTATCTACATTACTCTCAATTTACTATTATGCCACTTAGCATTTAAACCATTAGAATACATCAATAATGGCTAATAGAGATAATGTGCTAAAATTTATACACTCTATTTCATTTATCACACTTTTTAAATATGTGTGAAATACAAAAATGCGACACTTATTTTAATAGAGCAGTATCTTTTATTAGTCACCAACTTAAAATTTCCTATTAAAAGCGAATAAATAAATGTCCTAAATCTACACCTCTACCATTAACTATCTCTAGACAATTATCAATTAAATTGAATTAACATGACACTAAATAATTTCTTCTATCTTAATCAAATGTAAGTCAACTTTTTTCACCACTAATATTCAATCTATTAGATCGATTAATCTGATTTAAAGATCAGTTCTAACATTAAATGATTTTAACTATATCTCAATCACATATAAGAAGAATGAATTATAATTTTTCTTACTAAATTGAACACGAGTTATCATTGAATGAAGTAACTATTATTAAATGTAACCCAACTTAACATACAAAGTGTTTTAAACTAAAAGTGTATTTGGAGTTAGACTAAATTCCTTCAACCCTTTTACTTTAGCAATCAATACCATCAACATATAAAAAATCCATTAACCAATACGCGTTGCACATAATACTAAATAAAACTATATATTAAAATCAAATCATAAGATATCTTTTTCTTCTTCCATTATTTTCAAATTCAATCAAAATCTTCCATCACCTTCCTTTCACCATCTCTAAATCTAAATCGTTCATTTTCTCATCTCTCTTTCACTTTTTCAACCTTACCCTTATCTGTCATATCTCTTCTTCCTCATTTTTTCCTACTACTATAACTATACTATACTATATACCCTTCTCTGACATACCCTATTATTTTGGATCTTTGATCATTATTTTTTGTTTTATTTAATTTAATTAACACTTATTATTATTATTATTATTATTATTGTTATTATTATTCTAAGTTTTTTGTTTTTTGTTTGTTGTTAAGTGTTTCTTAACATGTGAGGTTTTATTCTTTGCCCCCTAAAAAAAAGCAAATTTTTATTTCATTCTCTTTTTTTAATGATCCATGACCGTGTTTTTTGGGATAAGTTTGTGTGTGTATTTTGGGAAAGTTGCATAAAGTTGAGTTTTTTTTTCTTAGAGATTAGTTATAGTAACTATTATTCAATTTATTGAAGGTTTTTGAAAAGGGTATGGTTGGTTTTTTTTGGTGAGTGTTGTTGAGTGCTAGGTGTTTGATATATTGTCTGAGAGAGAAATTGAAAAAAATGGGATCTGGTAATGAAGTTCATTCTGTTGGTGAGTTTAGTTTAGATGCTAAGTGGATTATAGATCCTAAACAATTGTTTGTTGGTCCTAAAATTGGAGAAGGGGCTCATGCTAAAGTCTATGAAGGAAAGTAAGTCAAACTTGTCTTGTGATTTTAGTTTTTTTTTTTTAGTCAATTTTGGGTTTTGAGTTCTTTTATCATGTAGATTTGTTGTTATTTGAAAAAGAATAAGTTTTGGTGCAAAGTTTGTTTTGATTTGATTTCTAAGTCTGTATTTATATGCTCTCCTTTTTTTGTAGATTTATATACAATTTAGTAATCATGATTTGTACTTAGGGCATGTGTGGATTGACTTATTTAAATTTTTTTTTTTTTTTGCATAAGCACTTGTGAGACATTTTGGGAGAGTTTATGAAAATAGCTTCTAGCATGTCCATAAGCTGAATTTTCAGCTTATTTTCATAATAAGTTATTTTTGGCTTATTTGCATAAGCTCTCTAGTATAGCTTTTCAAAGAAACTTATAACTTATATGGAAACCATTTGACTTTATTTTATCATTAGTTATAGAAATAGCTTACACACAAGCACTTAGGTGACATTAGTCTGTTTGGAGAAATTCATGTTATTCATCTGTCGGATAGGATTGTTTGCTGAGTTGCTTGTTGGATTTGCTGATTGCAGATATAAAAATCAAAATATTGCAGTTAAAATTATCAACAAGGGAGAAACTCCAGAAGAGATTTCGAGGAGAGAGGCTCGGTTTGGTAGAGAGGTTGCTATGTTGTCGAAAGTTCAACACAAAAATTTAGTCAGGGTATTTTTTCACCCTTGAAAATCTAAGTAGATTTTTCCTTTAACTAGAGTTGACTAGAGACTAATGCAAATAAGAGTTACTCTAATAATGTTGGTAGTGATTAATGGAAAAAATTGTCTTCTAAAATGTTCCATTTGTTTTTTGTTTGATGCCAGTTTATTGGGGCCTGCAAAGAACCTGTGATGGTTATAGTTACCGAACTTCTATTAGGTGGAACATTGCGTAAATATCTCTTGAGTATGCGACCAACGTGCTTGGATATGCGTGTGGCTGTTGGATTTGCTCTTGATATCGCACGAGCAATGGAATGCTTACACTCACACGGGATCATTCACCGCGACCTTAAGCCTGGTATGCTTGCACAAATGTTATTCTAATTAGTTTCATTATGGATAAGCTCATGGCACTTTAATGGAAAAGATTGTGACTTAGGTATATAGGAATTTCTCATTATGCAGGAGCTACATGTTCTTTAGTGCATACTTGATTGCTTGTACCTTTCAACTTAGAAATTGACACCTTTGTTTTGTGGGCCACTATAATATGATCTTCTATCATAATGGAAAAAAGCTTTAATATGAGCAACTATGCACACATAATCTATAGTTAAGGAGTTTATATATTGTAAATTTATGTAAATTGTTTGTCATTTTCTCTTTATTTAGTCCGAATGACCATCCTATCATTATCGTCCCTTATAAAGCCATATAGACCCTGTTTGGATAAACAATTTAATTAAACACTTATCATATAAGTGCTTATCTATGAGCTATTTTTCCAACAAAATATAAAATAAAATAAAATTGTTTTTAGATTAAGTATTAAGTTGTTTTGTTTGCATAAGCTATTCTGAAGAGCTTATGGAAATAAGCTGAAAATAGCTCATCGCATGTCTTAAGTTGTTTCTACATGCTCTCCTAAATAGTATCACACATGCTTATATGAGATATAAAGTTACTGATTATCATCCAATCCAATTTACAGTACTGTAAATAATTATCTATTATCTGTATCGAAGAGTGGACCAAGCTTAATCCTGATAACTAGTTTCTTTTTTCCTTCTCAGATAACTTGATCTTGACCGGAGATCACAGGACAGTAAAACTTGCTGATTTCGGTCTAGCCAGAGAAGAGTCCTTAACAGAGATGATGACTGCTGAAACAGGAACATATCGTTGGATGGCTCCAGAAGTACTTCTTAATTTCTGAAAACTTTTAACGCTTACGAACTTTCCGGTTAGGTTTCCATGTTCGGTAATTATCGTTACTTTTTTGTTTCGTTGCAGCTTTACAGCACCGTTACTCTAAGACAAGGTGAGAAGAAGCATTACAATCATAAAGTTGATGCATACAGCTTTGCAATTGTGTTGTGGGAGCTCATCCATAACAAGTTGCCCTTTGAAGGCATGTCTAACTTACAAGCAGCATACGCGGCGGCTTTTAAGGTATATAACAATCCGCAATTGACAACACCATAATTTAACTTGTGTTTACCCCTGAACTCGTTTCTGCTTCGAGTTTACTAAAGCTTCATGACACAAATAATGAAATATTTCAGAATACAAGACCTAGTGCTGAAGAGCTTCCAGAGGATTTAGCTATGATTGTAACATCATGCTGGAAAGAGGATCCAAACGATCGCCCTAATTTCAGTCAAATCATACAGATGCTCCTTCGCTATCTCTCTACCATTTCGCCATCAGAACCAGTTGTTCCGATGCGGATGGCTTCATCGGATAATATTGTATTGCCACCAGAATCTCCTGGTACAAGTGCATTAATGTTCCGACGAGACGACCCTGGTGAAACCCCGAAAGCCAATGTAGAAGATAGGTCCAAAGGGTATTTCTTCTGCTTCAATAGGTGTTATTGATACCTCAAGATCACAAATAGGAAAACTAAATAAAACCATATCATATCCACCAATTGTAACAAACTAGAGACTCAATAAGAAAATGTTGACTATTAGCAACTCAGAAGGCACCTTCATTCTCAGCAAGAGTGACAAGTTCTTTTAACATTATGATGTTGACTTTACTTTTATTTGATTTGATGTGTGCTCTAGAGAATTTTGGGGTTAAGGTTGCTGAGATGTAAATAGTTCTGTAAAATAAGGTTCATCCAAAAGCCTTCATCTCTTGTTTATATATATGTGTGTGTGCCATGGATAATAAAAGGGGAAATGTTTGTGTTGGCATCATAAAGCTTTGTATCATTACCAATTTACAGTTTTTTTTTTGTGTCTCAACTTGCTGAAATCTTTTTGTGCCGTTTCCTATTTTGTGTCACACTTTGAATTTGTGAATCTGCCTCTTAATGCCGTTCAAAAGAGTGCTTGATCATGTACTGGCGTGTTTGGATTTACGGTGAATATAATATTTAGGTTTGATACCATTTTTGTCCCATATTTTAATATCGAAGTTTATTTTGATCTTTTAACTTTTTAAAGATTCATATTAGTTCTTTAACTCTTTAAAACGTTTTAAATTAGTCTTTTTTGTCTAATTATTGATGAATTTAGCGATTGATTTTTAAATTATTTTCATTGCTAATAAAACAAAAAAAGTTAATATGAAACGTTTTAAAGAGTTAATAGACTAATACATATTTTTAAAATTAAAGGATTAAAATGAATTTTGAAATTAAAATTCAAAAAGATATTTTGCCTTAATATTTAGATATAATATCATTGAACTGGTTGTTATTAATACAAAGCAAAAAGTGATATAATATCATTGAAGTGGTTGTTATTAATACAAAGCAAAAAGTAAAAAGAGAAGAAGTAATTGATGAGAATTAAGGAAGGTAAAGAAGAAGAATTAAAGGGACCCTGTAACAATTAAAATATAATAAATGCAAAATTGATTTTTTATAACCTAAAAGAATTGATTTTAGAGAAAAACTCAAACATAACAAAAATTTTAAATAAAAAGAAAAAAAGAAAACACCAATTTTCAAGTTGGAGAGGGATAGAAGAACTTTTGGGACTTGTAAAAGTCAATCCAAACATACAGAAATGTTTTTTGAAGCATGTAAATATGATTAGTTTGTGTTGGATGAATGAATCCGCCAAATTGTTTACACACATCTTAAAAAGATATCATTCATTAGTGAGAGAAATGCGTAATGTAAATTTAATTTGTTGAGGTTTGATAATCAAACTAAATGTGTTGGTAAAATATGACCTATTTCGTAAGAGTTGATTAGGTGGTTGAAGATACGATCAATTGATCCTTATTTTGTAGAGAGATGATGAATCTACAAACATTTTGACGATTAATTAAGTAAAAGTTGCGAGTTGGAATTTTAGGGTTAGGAATCGTGTATTTATATATGACTCATTAGTTAGCCTTATAGCAAGAAGGTTAGGGATTTAGGCCTATAATATAATTAGACATATGTCTCTCCACAAATAATTGTTGACATTGTTGTTCAATTGATTGGATGTATTATGAAAAATAGTATGTGTAGATGTTCTTGATTGGCTGCATTTTGTGGTAAAACATTATTGTGTGTGTAGATGTCTTAACTAATGTAATGACATACTTGTGTAGTGTGTTGCAGGGTAAGTTTGGTTAGCTAGTACAGAGTTTAATGGATGTCAAGCTGAATGTTGTGACATCAGGGAGCTGCCAGTTAGGTCCCTGTTTGTTTTTCTGTTATGGTTCCTGAATTATCTCAGGTTATATTCTAGGAAACCTGTTATGGTTCCTTAGTTATCTCAGGCCATATTTTAGGAGACTTTCCAAGGAAACGCCTGCGACCTATTTGTTAGCAGATTGAATAGTGAAGATTGGTTTTAACTTGGTTAAACCTAATTTGTGCAACTTAGGTCCAAGGCCCATGCGCTGCATATAAATAAGAGTGACATCTCTTATTGAAGGGCAAAGATTTTTGTGGTGAAGAATTCTGTTAGTGTGTTTACATCTTCACGTGTGTTTTGGTCTAAGGTTTTCTTGTGAGCCAAGCAATCATCCCTTAGATGATTGTATTGAACTAGTGTGATTTTGAGTTGTATGTTGGTTGTGTCACTCTAAGCTTTTAAGCACGAGTGTTGTGTCTCTTGATTGAAGTTGTTAAGCAAGATCAAGATTTGTTTGAAGTGTGTCTTCTTTTAAAATTTGTTAGTTATTTGGCTGAGATCACTGCTGTGATTGAGGAGGAGTGAGTAGGAACTCAGGTCTAGAGTTAGATTGAAATTACATTGGGTAGGTCTTAAGTGAAGAGTGCAAACTGGTAGTTTGGCTCTGAATTAACACTGCTTATAGTGGATTTCCTCACTGGCTTGGTAGCCCCCGGAGTATGTGTGTTTTGCACCGAACTGGGTAAATAATTCCCTGTGTTATTTACTGCTTTCATTACTTGTTTACTACTAAAATTAATAGTCTGTTCAGAAGTGGATGTCATAAAATCCGATATAACATCGACAGTCTGTTACTAGAATTTCAATTGGCATCAGAGCAGGCACCCTGCCTGTTATTTTCTGGGTGAGATCTAGGGATATATTCTGGTACTATGGACAAGGATGTAGGATTTACAAATAGACCACCCATTCTGGATGGATCTAACTATGACTACTGGAAACCTCGTATGATAGCCTTCTTGAAATCTCTGGATAGCAAGGCCTGAAGAGCAGCTAACTCAAGATGGGAACATCCAGTGAAGACAGAGAAAGATGGATCAACTGTGTTAATACCTGAAGAAGAGTGGAACAAAGAGCAAGAAGCTTTGGCTCTTGGGAATTCTAAGGCCCTGAATGCTCTATTCAATGGGATAGATAATAATATCTTCAGACTTGTGCATCACTGTGAACTGGCCAAAGAGGCTTGGGATACTCTCAAAACAACTCATGAAGGTACCTCTAAGGTTAAGATGTCTAGACTACAGATGCTAACTACTAAGTTTGAGAATCTAAGAATGAAAGAGGATGAGACCATTCATGAATATTCTTGAGATTGCCAATACCTCAGGAGCTTTAGGAGAAAAAATGTCTGAAGAAAAACTTGTAAGGAAGATTCTCAGATCATTGCCCAAGAGATTTGCCATGAAGGTTACTGCTATAGAAGAGGCTCAAGATATCAGCAACATGAAGGTTGATGAACTCATTGGTTCTCTCCAAACCTTTGAGATGGGAATGTGTGGAAATACTTAAAAGAAGAACAAAAGCATAACTTTTGTATCAAATACTGAAGAGGACTCAGATGAAGGCAATAGTGGAAGTGAGGAAAATCTATCAGAAGCTATAGCCATGCTTGGAAGACAATTCAACAGACTTATAAAAAGAATATATCAGAAGACCAGACCTAATGTCAAGAACATCTACTCTGACATCAGCAGAAGGGGTAAATCTGAAGAAAAGTCCAACCAAGGCAAAGGTATTCAGTGCCATGAATGTGAAGGCTATGGTCACATTAGATCTGGATGTCCCACTTACCTCAAGAAGTAAAAGAAAGGTCTAACTGCTACCTGGTCTGATGGAGATTTTGAGAGTGGATCAGAAGAGGAATTTGCAAAACATGTCACTGCACTAACTAATGTGTGTGTATCTGATGATGATTCTAGTAAAAATGAGCTGACTTTTGATGAACTTGCAGCATCATACAAAAAGTTGTGTATCAGAAGTGCAAAAGTGTGCCAACAAGGGGAGAAGCAAAAGAAACTCGTAAAGGAGTTGGAGGTTGAGAAGAAATAGCATCTTGCAACCATAGACTCACTCAACAGTGAGGTCAATTTGTTGAATTCCAAACTTGATCAGATGTCAAAATCTATCAGGATGTTAAACAATGAGACTGACACTTTAGAAGAAATTCTACAAGTTGGCCAGAAAGCGAGAGACAAGTCTGGAATAGGTTTTGTTGGTGAAAAGGGACCCATCTTGGAGATCAAGAGTTATAAACCTGAGAATCATAGGGCAAACCGGATGTCAAGACCAATGTCACAACATCATGGGAAGAGAAACATGAACCAGACAAAGAGAAAGTTCCAAAGGTGGAGGTGTCACTATTGTGGAATATTTGGTCACATAAAGCCTTTTTGCTTCAGACTTCATGGATTCCCCAACACTACTCATCAGGTCAAACCCAAACAGGATGCTCCTATCAAGAAACAACAATGGGTTGCTAAGGATGTTGCTCTAATACCTCATACCTCTATAAGGGTATCAGCCAAAGAAGACTGGTATTTTGATAGTGGTTGTTCAAAACATATGACTAGAATAAAGAACCTATTGGTGGACATCAAACCTCATTCCACAAGTTATGTGACCTTTGGTGATGGAGCTAAAGGGGAAATCAAAGGTGTTGGAAAACTAGACTGTCCTGGAGTTCCAGATCTAGATAATGTTTTGTTGGTGAAAGGACTGACTGCAAACCTTATTAGTATCAGTCAGCTATGTGATCAAGGATTTAATGTAAAATTCACTAAAGAAGAATGTGTTGTCACCAATGGAGAAAATAAGTAAGTCATGAAGGGGTCTAGATCTAAAGACAATTGCTACTTGTGGGAGCCTAAAGACTCAAGTAACTCCACTGTGTGTTCTATGGCCAAGGAAGAAAAGGAGGTTAAACTGTGGCATCAAAAACTTGGACATCTTCATCTAAGAGGGATGAAAAAGAGCATATCCAAGGAAGTTGTGAGAGGAATTCTAAAACTAACTATTGATGAAAGAAAAGTCTGCGGTGAATGTTAGGTTGGCAAGAAAACCAAGATGTCACATATTAGAACTTCCAAAAGTCTTGAACTGTTGCACATGGACTTGATGGAATTCATTAATAGTATTATTAATGACCAGCATGAAGAATACAATGTCACTCAGAATGTCATGACATTATACTGTGACACTCTTAGTACCATCAATAACCTAATTCAGCATAG